TTCCTTCTCTTTAGAACTCTCTACCACTAGACCCAGCCCCCGTGGCCTGCTGGAAATTTCAGTCTTTTTTCACTCAACTCAACATGACTGGGCTCTCACTTTCACTTCTCTAAGCCTAGGGTCTGAAAATTACCTCTGGATAGAAAATATGGAGATCAATTGTGGGGCTCACCTTGTTTGCTTCAGGGATCACAGTCTTGTGCCGCCTATTGTCCAGTATCTGGAAAGAGATGTTTTATGTATTTGACCCATTTCTGTAGAAGTTTTTGGCAAGAAGGTAGGTCTGATTTTTGTTCCTAAATGTAACTGGGAGCAGAATTCCAGAGTTATTTTTTGAATATTTTAAAATATTCAAATTTCTTATACGTTTACTTGTAGCACTACAGTTACTCTTTAAGTTAAAAGGCAAACAGATTCCTTTGAAAGCATACAAGATCTTCCACTTCATTAATGCTCTCACCTGACTAAATTTCTCAAATTTTTTCTTGAAGCTTTAGCAGCACATTTATGACAGCATAACATCTATATTTACTTCAAATTATTCACTATTATTACTTTACTGAAATTGCCTGCTTATACTTTTGTTTCTATAGTAAACAATAAGCTCTTTGTAATGGAAACTATTTTGTTCACTGGTCAGTGATTTTGGCACAATTAATGTCATTTGAATGGAAAGAATGAAGCCAGGCAGGAAGGAAGGAAACTATTGTTAGCTGACTTAAGAACTTTAGTTTAGTATTGTCTGGTACTAAATATGCATAAATACACAAGAAACCAAATCAAAATGCTGAGTTTTTATTTACTGGGGGGGTTTTGTTTGCTTCTGAAACCTCTGTTGCAGTCATTTCAGTAGGCAGCTTCCATAATTTTACCTGCCTATATAACCTCCTGTCATTGCTTCCTCAAACCCCACTACTTTGGTGCTCTAACACTTCCCGGAATCATATTAACTGTTAGATTTGCAGTTCTGAAAACCATTTGCTACCAAAGCAATATCTTAATTAAATTCATTTTTCTGAACTTCACTCATATTTTTCAGAGGTATTAAAGAGCTCAGCAACTTTATCAATTCAACCATACATTTTCTTTGCCCTCTGTCTTTGGAAATTATAGGCAAATCACAATTTGTATGGGCAAAATAACTGCAGGGTCTAATGAAGAAGTGTGGTAGATGGAATAAAGGTCCCGAGACATGTCCATGTCCCAATCCCTGGAAACCGTGACTACATTACCTTACATAATAAAGACACTTTGCAGATGTGATTGAAGTTAAGAACTAGGGATGAGAAGATTTTCTTGGATTTGGGAGATGGACTCGGTTTAATCACATGAGTCTTTAAAAATAGAAGAGGAAGGCAGAAGAGTTGTTCAGAGAGATGCAACTGAAGAAACAGTGGACATTCAAAGTGGAAGAAGACTTGACCCACCGTATGCTGGCTTGGAAGAAGAAGGGGCTATGAGCCAAGGAATGAGGGGCCCTCTCGAAGCTAGGAATGGCCCTCCACCAAGGAAATGAGGATCTGAGTACCATGAGCAAGAAACTTAATTCTCCCAACAACGTGAATGAGCAAATGAGCCTCCAGAAAGGAATCTTGCACTTCTGACACTTTGATTTTAGTCCAAGAAGATCCTTTTTGAGTTTTTTATTGTTGCTGTAACAAATCACTATGAAATTAGTGGCTTAAAACACTTCTCTTTTGTACTTCTGTAGTTCAAAAATGTGGATCTCACTGGATTAAAGGCAAAGCATTGACAGGCTGGGGGGTTTTGTTTGTTTGTTTGTTTAAGATCCAGAGAATCAATTTGTTGCTGTCAGCTGAGAGCCGTTCCCAGTTTCCAGAGGACACAGCTTTCCTTGGCTCATGTTTCCTTCCTCCATTTTCAAAGTCAGCGGTGGTGGCCTCTCATATCACATCATACTGACTCACCCTTCCACTTGCTACACTTTAAGACTCCTATGATTAGACTTAGCCATCCATTATAGTCTCTTTATCTCAAGGCACTTAACACATTTGCAAAGTCCCTTTTTCCATGAAACCTAGTAGAGTCACAGGCTCCAATGCTGACGACATGAATGTTTTTGGAAGATCTTTTATTTCCATTCCCCTAGACCTGTGCTGGACTTCTAATCTATAGAACTATAAAATAATAAACTCATATGGGCTTAAACAGGTAAATTTGTGGTCTTTTTTTGTGGTAGCTATGGAAAAGTAATACAAGGAAAACTAATAACTCAAAAATTAAATTAGAATCCAGATAATGCTTTACAGTTCTAAGAGCAAGGACTACACACAATTGCTCTAATTTAGTTCTTACAGTAAATAAGCATTTTTATTATTACCATTTACAAATGAGAAAACTAATGCAGCATTTCAGTGGGATGCAGATCAGGCATGTAGATTTTGGAATTCTGAATTTTATATCTGTCACTGGGTCCATTAACAAAATATTTAACCATATGGTCTTTAACCATATAGAGTCTTATTCTACATAACAGAATCTACCTGATATATGTATCTAAGGTTATCCTAGGAATTCATAATGAAAAGCATTTATCATACTATTGTACACATAATAAAGAATCAATAAGAGGTAAAATTATTTTATTTATGGTGTCATGGTAAATAATTATTTGAATAAGAAAATTAATCTGCTGGAGAAGGTAGAAAAGTGAAATGTTATATTATGTGGACTTTCTATCGTGTTATCTTTCATTAATGATATAGTCAACAAATGTACATAGAGCCCCTAATAAACATGGAATAAGATGTATCCTTTTATATCACAGAACTTATAGTATAACAAAAAGATAATTTACAAGTTGCTAATAAGTAAGCAAATAGCAAGCATGTATTTGCCACATAACATTAGCATAAGGTTTTTTGAGTTATTTTTGGAAGTATGTACCATGCAGCTAGATTGAGTAGTTACTAAATCAGGAAAAGTGTCTATGAGGAGATATTGCTTATTCAGAAACCTGAAAGATGAGAAGATATCAGGGTAAATTCAAGGATAAAGTATCCAGGCAGCAGAAAGATGAACTGTCTACAGAGACAGGAGGCTATAAGGACCCATCCTAACCTGTGATCCCTAGCAGAAATTCAAAGTTGAAAGCTATCTCTCAATGATGTTTTTAGACCAGTGACTATAGATATATATCTCAGGGATGAACATTCAGTAGATGTAAAATAGGAATATTCATGTAACATTTTAATATCAAAAATAAGTTAGACCTTAATAATAAATTTGTTTTTAAAAGTTTCACAATTTTTGTTTACATTTTTACACATGATAGGCTTCATTTTTTACTGGCCAACTAGGTTATTTAATTATGCTAGAATATATCAATTTACCCATACTTTAATTTTTATTTACTATCCCTTACTTTATAATTCAAGTTATACTTTAAAATTTCTTGAATGTGAATAAGGATTTTGTCCTCCTTATATATTTCAGCGGTTTTTATAGACACATTTAAACGTAGATTATCTTCATTGTAAGGATGAAAATAAGATAAAAAGGAAGCAATAGAAAATATTATATTAGTGGATAGAGTCATATAAGGCCATTAGGTTGAGCCAAAATAATAGTTATAAAATCAGATTCTAAGAATATGGATTTGAAGATAATTGCTGCTTTTGTAAGCTCACTTCTGTGTACCTGAAATAGCATATCAACCAACTATCGTCTTAGAAATGTAACTCCCTGTGTACAACTTACGGACAGCCAGATAAATGTAGAAATTACTTAATCATATGTATTCTAAACACTCCAGGTTTCAGTTAACCAAGTCGGTCACCTGAGGGCAAAGTGTAGTGACTGATATAGGCCAGAGAAGGGAGCCCGTAGGAAAAACTTTTTTTCTTGTTAATCGACATAAATTTTAGATTTGGAACACCATACCTAAATTTCATGGCACTTTATTCATACGAAACTGAATCTTCTTTCTAACTTCTACAGCTTTATAGTAGTTTTGGCAAGGGAGTAAGATGGAAACAAAAAAAGGTTGACTTTTGAAAACAGACCATTTAATGGAATCATTGTGTCGTTTTTCCAGTTCTCTTTGGTATGTATTGAAATGTGGTTTTTCAAGACCCGTGTAAGGAGGGAGAAGAGCCCTCACTCTGGAAATTCACATGGCCTGTTCCTTTCTGCTGTATCTCTGATAATCAGGATCCTTCCTGCCTGAGGAGTCTCTACTTACAAATAAATAAAAATTCTATTATTTCAGAAAGGAGTCTTTTTTTATTCAAATTTCATTCATTTGCAGATATTTTTTATCTGTGATTATGTTTTTATATTTTTACTTGAGCTGTTTTTAGTCAAATAAGAATGCTTTTCCTAGAATATTAAAAAATAAAGATAATTTAGTTTTTATAACCACCTAGCTCTTAGATTAAGAATCATATCTTGTTTCTGAGGTTAATCACATCAGTTATATATAGCATATGCAGTATGCCTCTTGTAAAAAATTAATAATTTTGGGAAACTGAAGTGTGGCAGTGGTTTAAGGTACCTCTATACCCTTATCAAGCCATCTGGCTTGAAACCTTGAGATTGAGTATGAAATTTCCCCAAAAGAAAAGCAACATTTAGTTAGGTTAAGTGTCAAGTTGCTAGCTTACACTGTATAAAAGTCAGTATGTACCAAGCCATATTAGTGAATTTCATCTACACTGCTAGAAGGTTGTTGAACTCAATTACAGAAATGTGCAGAGCTCTATTTGATGTGTGACGAGGTTAGGAGACCACAATCAATTAAAAAGAACACATGTATATCCTGTTCTGGGGAAACAGTTGTTATAGTATCCCTTGTTCAGTTCTGCTTTTTTCTCTGACTTTTCCTCTGAACATAGAAGAACAAAGGGTTTAATAATTCCCCAGTTTCATTTGGGACTGTTTTGTCAGCAGTATCTAATAGGAAGACATGAGATAGTTATTTTATTTGAATGAAGCCTCAGGCGGCTATAATTAAACATGCTGTACTTTTTTTCTTGTAGCAAAACCATTTGAAAATGGACAATATTTGGACATTTATGGAATTACAAGGGACCAGGCTGGAGAATATGAATGCAGTGCGGAAAATGATGTGTCATTCCCGGACGTGAAAAAAGTAAAAGTTGTCGTAAACTGTAAGTCCTGTCATCTTTTATCTGGATAACTTTCAAGAAAAGATAAATGTATGAAATACACTGACTGAAATTTATGTTGCTGTTTTTTAAGAGGTGCTGTTATTGATAAAGACCACTTATTGACACTGAAAACATGTGCATGTTAGAAGATTGACCAAATTGTAACATTAGTTGTCCCAAGTAATCCCGTGATAATTCAGTTTGATATACAGATGGAAACATTTCCAATATCACCGTAGTCCCAAGTATTGTAAAGTATGGTATCTTTATATCTAGAGTGTTACAAATACATGGCATTTTCTTCTTTCTTGTGAGTTTTACCAGGGTGTGTTCTGATTAAGTTTAAACATGAAACTACCAAACAAACCCAATGGAAATTAAGTATGTTGCTCTGTACTCAAAGAGAAGAGCTGGTGCCGTGATACTTCAATTACGTGGGTCACTTAACTCTATTTAGTTTGAAAAATATTGAGAAAGAATGTTCCCATAAACATCATTATTAAGAAGTTAGAATATTAAGAAATACCTGTGGAACTGCCAATGCCACGTTACACCTTCTCTAACTGCATCTCAAACACTGATGTAAGATATTTTTCACTAAACATCCAGTTTTATATCTTATGATCTTAATAGTAATAGCTGACATAGACTGTACATTTCAAAAGTAGCCCCTTAGTCTTTCAAAATTTTTCGCATTGTTTAACTTATTCAAATGAAATGCTTCCGGGATAATAGTATTTACCAAAGGTGTTTATAAGGGTACAGCTTCCTTTTTTTCATTCCTTGTATACACCTTTCTTTATATAGCCATTGCTAATAATGTATACGTTATTAAAAGAAGGAATCATTCCAAATATAATCTAAAACACTTTAAGCAGGTTTTTTTTTCCATATTAATATGAATATTTCAATTTCATGGGCCAAAAATTAACTATCAAAACACACCTGGCAGTTGAGTATCTGCCAGGGCAAATCACTGCCATCAACAAACATTTGTCAGTGACTAATTTATATATTTGGGGTTGACCTATCTCTTTGAGACTGAGAAAATGTGCATAATACCAGATCAAGAGGCAGTGCATGGGGCAGAGTTTCTCATATAATGTTCTGTAGAAAAACTTTAGCAGATTCACCCAAAATCTTAATAAAAATGAAAAATTCGGAGGCCCGCATCAACTCAACTGAATCAAAATCTGTGGGGTACATGACCTGGAAATCTACATTTAATAAATTTCTACATTTAGAGCTACTGCTCATCCCCTGGAACTCTCTGAAATAAGAGATAATAAGCAAGTTGAAATTTCTGGTTATTTTATCACTAACTGTATTTATCTGAATATGAGTCCACTGATTTTGTTGTTGGAGGGTTGGAAAAAGATATAAAGAATTAGTATTTTTAGCAGTGAACACTAAGAAATGAAAAGGTATAGTCAAACGGTCAAATAAGCAAGGCACCCACCCAGTAATGCAGCCCCTCCAGCCTGGAGACCTAATCGGTCTCTACAATGATATCTCAAATGGGGGTAGAATTGAAAATCCAGCTGTTGTATGGATCCTCATGGGCCCATAGTCCATGTATAACCCACATTTTCCTTTGCATTCACACTTTCTCTTCCATCCTTTTTATATCCCTCTGCCTTTAATTCATTGTCACTTATCATTAAATTGGATCCTCTTTTATCCTGGAGAAGTGGGAACCTTAGACAGAAGGTCAACTAAGGAGGTAGAAATGTAGAGAAAAACTAAACTGAAAGAGAGATATACCAACCAAATGAGTCATCATCTAAAGGACCTGGGTGGAGAAGAGAACCTACTTATAAAGAGGACAGAAACTGGGGAAAGAAGGTGTCAAGAACTATGAAAAATCTGTCACAACGTCATGGATGCTGGCGGAAAATAAAGGGCAGTTTATTACTCACAATAATAGTAGTAGCCAGAATATTGTCATTTTTTGCATTCCAGCCCACGCTCCAGTTAGTACAGGGTGATATGGTGAGGGCCAGGTGACATCTGTACACGCAGTAGGTTTATGTCATAGCTGAAGCTCCCTGAGCTTAGGAAACTTGATTTTTTTTATAATGGCAGCAAGCAAACCTCTGCCCTTTGCTGCAGAGGGAGAAATTATCTTTATTATACTGGACTATAAACAAACCTGCTGTTTGCTCCATAGGGAGAACTACTTCTGTATTTTAAGATTGTTCACTATACAAACATTCCTGAAAAGATAGTCCAGAACAAAAGAGTTCATCGTCTCTGCTTCCAAGATGTGCAGAAACACAAGTAACTTATGGAGAAGTGTTTTTCAACATGGGACAGGAGCAAGAAAGTATGAAGCAAAGCCTAGAGATATTCCATCAGCCAAAAAGGGTGTTCTGGTGGGTTTGGAGGGTGCAGACTCTGAAAAATACGTTGGAAGGAAAACTTTGTTAATCAACTTTAATTTATTAAATTTAAGAAGAAAAACAGGAAGGAAAAGAAGGTAGAAAAAAGTTAAGAAGGTGCTTTTTAAATTGTAACTACAGACTATTTTTTAAAGAATTAGTTTCAAAGTACAGTCCTAAATGGAAATATTGGTGCCAACATAATGTTAACATAGCTCATATCTTTTTTCAAAAAAATGGACCCAAAAGGACTTTTTAATGATTTTTAAACAATCAGTTTGTCTTCTTTTCCTTTCTAAAGTATACCTTTGATAACCTACTTTTCCCTAAGTGTGCCATGAAGAATTGTGTTTAGTACTGACTGATCAATTCGATTTACATCTGTGGGACCAATATTTTATGTAAGAGATAAGTAAGTTGTGTTCGGACTTCTGGTCAAGACCTAAATTTTGCCTACTTTGGAATAGTTATGTCACACATATACCAGCAATTTCTAAGTCATGTAGATGTATAAGTATATGCCTACATATATTTCTAGTTATGAAGAGGTTTGGAAAGTGTTAATTTTGTGAATTTGTCCCTTTAAAAGTTGAAAATTGAGCGCTATCTACGGATTTTACTGAGCTGATTTCCCAAAGGAAATTAGCCAAAGCCTACTGAATAAACTTTAGTTTGTCAAATCCTCAAATTGAGCACAGTGGTCTATGTTACCAGCACGAAACTGCATATCTCCTGATAACCTGAAGATTCCCTGAAGATAGAATCATGCCAAGTAGAAGGCAGCACTTCGTTTCACTGTTATTAATCAATATGATGTGCATATAGAATTGCAGTAGCTTTGTGGTTATAATTTGAAGAGAAATTTGTCCCTTTTCCCAAATGGGGTTCAAGATGAAATGTAATAAATTTTTATAAGCTCTGGTAGATTCAGTTGTGTGGTAAGTTAATTTGAGTAAGGGATTTAGGTTCTCTTCAGGTTAGAAATGTTTAATATTTTACTATTTATCTAAAACGTCTGCCATATACATACATATATTACTATATGCATATCACTATATATATCACACTATATATACCACGAACATACAATAAGTAATGTATTTGCCACACCTCACATACTTTGTACCTGTAGCACTTTGATGTGGACTTCTGTTCATTTTAATTAAACAATAATTTAGTGAAATGATTAGTAAAATTAACTTATTTTATAGATTGGACTAAGTGGTTGAATAAATCCGTAAATTTTGAATTACTTACAGTCTACTATAAACAGGAAAAAATTTGTAGGATATTAAGATTCTATGCAAAAGCTTGTTTCTGGGTAGGGAGATTTTGTAGGTGATTATTCTTGTCTTTATCTGTATTTTCTTTTATTTTTTTATATTGACATATAAATTTATCTATATACAAATTTTTCTTCTTTGTATACACATATGTTTACACATATCTACATACATATGTATGTATGTGTACATATTTCTTGTCATATTGAAAAAAACTAAAATAATAAAAAGGAATTGTGACCCTTATAACCAGACCTTGAGAGATTAAAACACGTACACACACAAAACAAGAAAAAATTTTAAACCAGTTGATTAGCTAAGCCAGAGGGAGCTAGTGGATTAGAGTTGAACAGATTCTCTGTTTCAATTGCATCTGTAGTCCATTCCTAGAAGTAGCCTAGAAGATTCTAATCCCATAATTTTTATTGTTAATTTAAAAATGGAAGAATGAATTGTTCCAGAAAGCTCATGGATTCAATTTAATTGGGAAAAACAGAAACCTATGAAGATCTGGTTTGGAAAGGAGAGACCAGAGTCTAGAAAATAAACAGTGTTGACTCATTGCAAGCTTAATCTAGAAACCTGAAAAATTTGCAAACTATCATAGACTAATAAAGTAATGTAGATCTCCGTGGAGAAGCAGAATCTCAGATATTAGAAATCAGGAAAGCCTGAAAGACCTAACCCTTCAAAATGAAAACCGTCCATAAAAGGGGTAGGGTTCTCTGATCTTGTGACAGAAGCTGTTTGCTCTACAAGCATTATTTATGTGTATTCTTTCAGTTAGTAGTAACTGCTTTGCAAATGTGGCCCTTATATTCAGATATTACTTATTTAATGCCTGTTGTGCACCTCACTGGAAATTCAAATCCTGGGAAACCAATTTACCTCTGAGTCTCAGTTTCCAATTCTGTAGTTTAGGGCAATAATATGTAATTACCAGGGTTTGGGTAAAGATTAAATGAGATAATATATATTTATAGCATCTGGTTCACTGTAGGCAATTGAAAAAAATCTCTCTGTCTCTCTCTCTCTGTCCCTGTCTCTGTCTCTCTTTTTGTGTACTTACTTTAGAATGTAAGCTCTATGCAGTAAGGGATTGTCCTTTCTTTTGTAAAATGATATGTTCTTATCACATACATCAGCACCTGGTCCACAGGAAGGACTCCAAAAAATAGTCATTGAATGAATTAAAATGATTAATGTTTGGGGCGCCTGGGTGACTTAGTCGGTTAAGCGTCCGACTTTCGCTTAGGTCACGATCTCGCGGTTTGTGGGTTCGAGCCCCGCGTCGGGCTCTGTGCTGACTGCCAGCTCAGAGCCTGGAGCCTGTTTCAGTCTGTGACTCCCTATCTCTCTGACACTCCCCTACTCAAGCTGTCTCTCTCTCTCTCTCCTAGAAATAAATAAAACATTTAAAAAATTAAAAAAAAAAGTGATTAACGTTTTCCCAGTGAATCATTCTACTAGACAAAAGAAAAAAATTACATTTTTTTCTCCCAAGACAATAAGTAAATAGTATGTTGAAGAGTTTACTTCAAATACCATTTTTTAACCAAAGTTTTCAGGTAGATTTAATAAAGATAGTCTGGCATTTATATAGTGCTTTCACCCAGAGAGGAAATACTAATTCCATTTGTTTTACAGATAAGAATATTAAGGTTTGAGGAGATTAAAATATTTAGTAACTTCATTCATTTTCAAGAACAAAACAGACATGAACAAAGGTAATAATTAACCAGAAAAAAATATACAGTCAGCCAGATTTAGGTAAAAAGAGGCCTAGATGTTATTTCAGTTTTCACTCATGACAGTCAGTTTATATTGATCATTTTATCTGGTATCAGAAATTATTTTGCACACACACAATTTCTAGTAAAATAGAATTGAATATTATTCCTATGGTCAAACAGTGCAGATATTTTTGGGTGTACTGTGCACTAAGTTTTCATCCAATAAATCATAGGCACATATTTGTGCATTATTTTGCATCTTATACATATTCATTTATGCAAATGTGCACTTTATCTTCCAATATAACTAGCTCTAAACATGTGGGAAAGAATGTACCAATTAGTATAACTTAGTACAATTGTATCAAAGCTTGAAATGAGGGGCCACAGGGGAGAAGGAGGAGGAGGAGGAGGCTTTCTTGGAAAATGGCCAGTTTTCTTAGTGTATTCATAAGTTTTCAACAAACCCTTGGAAATTAGGCAGACATCTTGGATTTAAGACTATAAGAAATTGATGGACATGTAGATGTCACCTCAAACAAAGAGAAAATCCCAGCATTCAGAGTCGGGATGGATAAGGTAGTGTTGTGGGACCAGAAGAAAAATGAATGTTATTTGAATTCATAATTATCACATTAGCTTTTATTTCAGGCTCCATTTTATGCTCTTACCTTTATTTACTTCATCTTTCACACTTGCTTATGATTTAGGCTACTATCCTGTACTTTATGTTTTATTATAAGCGAATTAGCATTCATCTGAAATAATTCAGAGTATAAAAATTGTATATTGTTGTCTCTTAAAGTACTAGTTCATATGCCATTTCTAGAGTAAAATGACGCACTTAAATAAATCTGCATTTATATATGTATTTATTTACCTATTTACTTGTGGCTTATCATGACACTTATCAAGGTTTTACAGCCTGGGATACTGGTCTTCAAGGAAAGCAGAAAGACAAGAGAGACATATAGTTATAACACTGTGGCAAGTGCTTTGATAAACCAATCATTAAGTAGTATGCAAGGTATTATAAAGGCACTGAACACATCCTTAGGGTATCATGGAAGGCTTTCAAAAGGACTTGACCCTGAAGGAATCTGAGGATAAAATTGAATTTGACAGATTTTCTTTTTTAAAGAAAATCAAGGAAAGAGGAGTTTTACACGGAAGTAGCCACATTTGCTTAGTACCATAGGAATCAGGGACAAGGCACTGCTTGGTCCACTGGCTGCAGTGAGCTGGAGACCATCAAAGAAAATATAAAGAAGGGTGGGTGCCTAAAAAGGAAGAAGACAAGTCCCCATTAGATAAAAGTTCATGAATTTTCATAGATCGACATATATCCAGCTTCACCCTCAAAGAATAACTTTGAGATGATGAAACTTTTAAGAGATACAAATATGAATATTAAGAAATTTATTTACATATTTTTATTTCCTACATCTATGGAGTTTACTTGGATGATTTCTGTTTTGTCATGGCAAGGGCAAAATAAAAGCTTAAAAAGGTAACAATTCCAGCTAAAAGAAATATGAGGAGCTAAGAAATTTGAAGGAAAAATCCCTACAAGTATCAAACATTTAATGTTAGAAACATATGGTTAATCACCCAGAAAACATATTTTTATTTTATTCTGTTTCAAAAAAACCCATATATTTAAATAAAATATTTGTCTTCAGTAACAACATAAAAATCTAAGAATTAAACCTCTTCTTTTCACCTAAGGACTTCCATGATATAAAAAGTTCAAATTTAATTATGTGGTTTATATAATTCCTCAGTTGAAGTAAAACTGTGTTATTAAACATGCACTTAAGGAATACATGATTTCTTCTATTGAAGGAGGCATAATTAGTCCTTTGTTTTAAATCTTAGACATACATTTCAATTAATGACTAGTGTGCCAAGGCTATTTTTACTTACTGAGGCTATTTTTACCTAAGTGTGCTTCCCAATTTAACTTAAATGTACTGTCCCATACTTTCATCTTAGTATTGAAAGGAGCTTTAGTGTTAAGGGTCTATGAGTGATCTTTTACCCTTTTGTTCATGGAATCAAAATGCATCTGCAGTAAGCAACTGTGCCTATTTTTATTATTCCTCTTTTTTCTGAAAGTGAAAGATAAAACAATTCCTTTGCTTTAATACATGAGCAAAAGTTTTTGCTAGATGAGAGTCTGTTTATTTTGTTTTGCTTGCAGTTATTTCTAAGTTGGCATTTATCACTTCAAAAAATAAATTTACATATATATAAATTTACATTTATATATATATATATATATATATATATATAATTGGTATAATAGAGTTAGACTATCATCCACCAGTAAGAAAGCAATTTCTCAAAGAATGTAAATGCGCTAGGTTGAAAATGATCCATGCCAAACATCAGGAAAGGAACAAATCTATACGTCACACCCTTACATGGGTGTTTCTCTGATGTACTCATCTAGATTCACGTGCTGGGAAGACCCACCCCAAAGGCTAAACTCTGAAAACTGCAGGGTGGCTTCTTCTGAATATATCCTTCAAACTGATCTTGAAAATTCAAACCTCGCACAAATCTACAGTTTATACACCTGTATTTATCTGAAGTCCAACTTTATCAGCATATTTTCTCATGAGCAGATTCAAGCAAAATAATTTATGTAACTCAATTATTTTTAAGTAAACACTGAGAGCCATTCATAGAATGGGACCAACATTGAATTAAGGGTCTTGGGTCTTGGGGCGCCTGGGTGGCTTAGTCGGTTAAGCGTCCGACTTTCGCTTAGGTCATGATCTCACGGTTCGTGGGTTCAAGCCCCGCGTCGGGCTCTGTGCTGACTGCCAGCTCAGAGCCTGGAACCTGTTTCAGTCTGTGATTCCCTCTCTCTCTGACCCTCCCCTGCTCAAGCTCTCTCTCTCTCTAGAAATAAATTAAAAAAAAAACTTAAAAAAATTAAAAAAATAAAGGGTCTTGGGTCTTTTCTATATCATTAAAATACATGTTGCAGGAACTGTCAGGTGTCCTTAAGTCTGCCGTTGGACATATCTGTATGTTTTGTGTGTGTGTGTGTGTGTGAAGGGAGTGAAAGTAGAGTAATTAGGATGGTAGACATAGTATGCATAAAGGCAGTATGTAGTAGAGTCATGGGAGATACATTTGGAATATAGGGACCAAATAACAAGGAAACTTCCTTTGCATGTTGAAATGTGCTCTACCTCCTGAATACACTCGTTGTTTTCTTCTTTTTTTTTTTCATTCTCTCTTCCTTTCTCACCATCATTCACCCATTACTACTCTTTCTCATTATCTTTATTTTTACATTTTGGTTTTCTCCCCCCCTCTTTCTCTTTATTCCTACCCATATACATAATGCTAATAAACCAATTTTTGAAAGAACGTCTCATGTGTATAATGGGAATTATCAATGAATCATATTTAGTCATCTTAGAAACATTTTAAACATACAGATTCCTTAATAATACTCCCCTTACTCTATTATTCAATCTATATTATATTTACCTATAAATGTGTAAAAAATTTTTTTTCACATTTCAAATTTTTTATTTGCATATTAAAAAATTGTGCATTCCAGTAATTAAAATCATACGAAGAAAAAAACTGGCACTGTCATTAAACTACATTCTACAGCCTGCAAGACACCTTGGACCAGCACTGGACGTCTCTACCCATCTTCCTTCAACAAGCAAGTCTTTTCCTTCGCTACCAGCCACACAGGCAGAAGGAAAGGAGGCATGGCAATCTAGTCAGGAGTACAGATTCTTTGACGTGGAAAGGGTCAGCAGTCATTTAAACTTGATCCAACCTCTTTGCATCTCGTAAAGTTAAACAGCTAAAAGAAGTAAAATAAGAAGGCAGTGCTTGTGGAATGTATAGTGCATAACCGCGGCGCACGCCTCGTTAAGATTCGCCTGCTTGCTTCTCTTGTTCAATCGTTTCTTTTGAAGGCAGAAGGTTTTTCTCTTGCGTTTCTGTCTTCTTCAATTTCGACTTATCGAATTTCTCAATCTCAGCCATATCAGGTTTGTCAGACATGGTTGCAGAGGAAGCGGAGGGAGGTGCACGAAAGAGCAATGTCTGACCTCTGCAGTAACTTACGCCGAATGCTCTGTAAAAACTTTTTTAAAATTTACATATATGCTTGGAGATTCCAGGGTAATGAGTATGAGACAGAAAGGCAGAAGACCTGAATTCTATTTTTAACTCAATTGCTTAACTAATTGTACGACTTTGAACAAATAATATACACGTCTAGTTGTTGATTCCCCTTTTTGTAAAACAAGGTAATTACCTCTATGACATCTCCTAATTCTTAGATTCTGATGTATTTTTCTGATCCAAGAATTCAAATTTCGGAGACTGTATGGATTCGATTCCCAGCAGGCAAGAAGCAAAGGCTAAATGCAACTGTTTGGCTTCAGTGTCAAATGATTCTAGATAATCTCATAATTTGACTTTGTGAATGCTTTGAAAAGTTATGAAGGATGATAATTTTTTCTCTCTCACACCATTGTCAAATTTGGGTAAACTTTTTTTTTTACTTTAAATTTTAACTTTATGAAAAGAATCAGCATAACAATGGAGAAATAAACTTTAGAGAATTTCAGAGTAAGGATGCTGCTTATGCAATGGAGAGTGACATAGAGTGACAAAAATAGGATTTGGAATTAAACAAACATGATTGTTAATCCCACCTCAGTCACTTTGGAGTATTGGGAAAATTAGTTAACCTCTCTGGGGCAGTTTCCTTTTATAAAAATACAAGATAATTATACCTGCCTTGAAGATTTGTTCTGAGGATTAAGTGTTACATATGAAACAACAAAGTGGGGAGCGCAAGGCACACAATTTTCTGTATTGTAAGCATTTGTGTGTCGCATTTGTCTTGTCTACCTTTCTCTGTGGCCTGTGAGCTCTTTGCAGAGGGAGATTTCTCTTGCTCAACCTTGTGCTTTGGATAGTACAGCACAGTGGTTACAAGGGTAGTCGGGGGCCAGTGACCTTCGGTTTGAATCCCAACCCTGCCACTTATTCGTTCTATGTGAGCTTGGTCAAATTATTAAACTTTGTATATGTCAGTATCTCTGTTAAATGGGAGAGTATGAGGATTAACCCAGCTAATCCATGAAAAGGTATAGTGTACATTATTGTTACTCCCAACACCTAGTACAATGCCATATAATAAATGTCTGTTTGAATGAATGAATGAATGAATGAATGGTTTACAGAATTCTATAGCTTACAATAATTGTAAAATCTCCCTGATTCCCCCATCTTACAGATTGGTGTATTTGGATTCAGATAGCTTTAGAAATAAGATCAGAGGATTTATAGAAATACTCAGAATGGAATCCTGAAATCCTGATTCTAGGTCTGTGGTTATTTTATTATATTATCCTGACTCCATGTAAATCAAAATGGAATTTAATTATTTTCAGTAAACTGTGTAAACTCCAGAGACTTCTAGGAAGATACTCTAGTCTGAAGGATAGGAGACAGGATCGCTGTGTTTGATAAGGGAAAGGCTTGAATAACCTGAATATGCACAGGTGCTAGCCGTCAGAATGGCTGACACTGAAATACAGGGAAGAAACAAGAAAATGAGGATTCTCGGTGAATAGATAAGGTAATCACAATAAATAATCCTGAGGAATGATGCCACAGTCAAAATAAGTTTGTTCACATATTGTCTGAAATAAGAGCTTTTGATTAATAGAGAATGTAATGAAGTCTCAGTGTCATGTAGCCTGTCTGCTTGCTGCTACACAGTACAGGTAACAGTGCGGGGGGGGAAAAAAAAAAGGAAGGAAGAAAGAAAGAAAGAAAAAACCCAAGCAAATAAAAACAACCCGCCCCAAGGAAATAAAAGCCCACCACAGTGCTGGGGACATAAACAGTTATGAATTTCATAGATGTAATGAAAGAGGATAGTTTTATTTAGTATACTCTGTGTTTCATGTTTAAGACTCACTGCTCTGCTCTTACAGCCCTGAGATCATAGTTCATTCAGTTTATCAAAAACCTACGAGGTTTGGTGGCAATTAATATCTTATGCCTAGGTCCCAGTTGTTTCAGAGTTAGAGTTAAAAATTTGGATAAATTTTGGGGCACCTGGGTGGCTCGGTCAGTTAAGCATCCACCTTTGGCTCAGGTCATGATCTCACAGCTCTGAGTTTGAGCCCCACCAGCCCCACATCGGGATCTGTGCTGACAGCCCAGAGCCTGGAGCCTGCTTTGGATTCTGTGTCTCCCTACCCCTCCTCTGCTTGCTCTCTCTCTCTACCCAAAATTAATACACATTAAAAATTAAAAATAAAAGAATTTGGATAATTTTTTAAGTTTTTATATAACACATTGAAACATATTAGCCTAATGCATATTAATTCTGTTGTGCAATAAATCATACTTTCTTCCTGGTCTAAAGAAATCAGCATTCTGTAGCCGAGAACAGATACTGAGACTATTTCCACATTTAGTGCAACCAGTTACTGTACATTTACATGGACAGGGGTGGGGTGTATCAGTAATTAGGTGAAGTTCACAAATGCTCCATCTCTTAATTCTGTTTCATATTTGTGAATATACTGGTTTTGCAAACTCTTCAGTTGTTCTTGGTAGATGTCGAACGGACTCTGAAGTTCTGAGCAATTCACGTGCTGTGACCATAGACATACTGTGCGCCCTGGCCTGGAAAATGCATCCTATTAGAAATCAGGAAGACTGCTAGTGGAGTATTTACAGACGATATAACTGTGTGCTGGGTAGCATCGTTTCAAATCAAATCAGAACTTCACACAGTTTAGTGATCGGCACTTGGGGGTGGGGTGAGGGAGCTAAGGGAATACTCAGTTATGCACTAGAACAAGAAAAAAAAGAGCACATTTAAAAATAAAACTTGAAGATGAATATATTATTTAAATGATTGGCTACAGCAAATGGGAGAAAATGTTACAAAGTGTTTTTAACATATTTAATATGAAACAAGAAGACATTTCCTCCACAAAAATGGTATCACAACATTATAAAGAGAAAAGAGGCTGAAATGAAGGGACAAGAGGGAAAAGAGTAAGATACATTACAAAGATGACCGATTTTGATGCAAAGAAAGCTGGTGACCTGTTAACATTCTACCATCAGCCACGTGAGAGGAGTAGAAAAAAACCTTCCTAGAATTAAACACCTAAAATTGCTAAGCTTGATAGAATGTGATCATATGTCATTTCCAGCATGGTGAAGCCTGTAGCAATATAAAAAACACAAATTGGAAGTCTGAAAGTACCAAAAACTGCTACTCTCTGGGGCAGGGTGCCCTGACCTGCTACTCTCTGAAAGTGTTGAATCTGATTTTAACTTGCCAAGCCTAGCAGTCTGGACACAAAAGGGAGGCCCCCTATTTGGTATAGGAACTCACATTAGTGACACCCTCCTGCCATAAGAATGTGGCAGTTAAAAGCTGACCCACTCAGTGGTAAAACAGGACACAAACACACGAAAGCCGGATTCTGCTATCCCTGTTCCCATCTTGACGCCAGTTGACAGGGTAAGGGAGGACAGTTACAGGGAAGAAAATGATTTCTGAGAATTCCTATTACAAATTTCTCTCATGTAGATTTGGGGCTGGATTCCCACTCCCTGTAAAATATAAGACATGGCAAGTCGAAAATTTAGTGTCAGGTTAATCTAGTGTGACTGGCCCCTTAAATGCCCAAAAGAGGAAAAAGCAATAGTCTGTAGAAAATGGTTTAAATACAGGCCCCCAAATTTTCTGTAAGTGGTGTTCAAGAAACATGAATTATCAGTCCAATTCAAAACTAGTGCAAGAAAGAGAAAGACAGCCACCAGGAGATAAATAACAAACTACAATATAAGATAATACAAATATTGAAAATATCCCAACGGAACAGTAAGATATTAATATACTTAAAGATATAAAGTGGGAAGAATTTTAAAGAATATGATCTTATCTAATTTTTTTTGAAATGTATCTTAGCAAACTAGAAATACAGTTAGCTAACAAAGGGCACCTACAAAAAGCTACAGCAAGTATCATACACATGAATGAAATGTAAATACATTTCCTTTAAAATCAGCTAAGACAAGGATGACCCCTTTCATTACTTTTCCTAATAGTCTAGGACAATATGACCAGGAAAATATTAGACATAAAAGTATCTGATGAGAAAAATTAAAAATGGCATTATCCCAAGATGATGTCATCACCTATATAGCAAATCTAGAAGGATATACAGATAAATTAATAGAATAAATAAGAGTTTATCATGATTGATAGATATAAAGTCAGTATACTAATTTAATTATACTGCTATAACCCAGCAAAAAGAGCAAATCCAATTGGGAAAAATAATACTTAGAATATCAACAAAATATAATGTATTGAGGGTAAATCTAACAAAATATACATATAAATTATTTAAATACCCAGCTCATGAGTTCGAGCCCCATGTTGGGCTCTATGCTGACAACTCAGAGTCTGGAGCCTGCTTTGAATTCTGTGTCTGCCTCATTTTCTGCACCTACCCTGCTCACATGCTGTCACTCATAAATGAATAAATATTTTTTAAAAATTTAAATATATTGAAGACCTAATGAAACAGAGAAGCATAACATACCCAGAGATAGTTTAGAGATGTCTTTATCCTCAAATCACAGATTCATTAGAATTTGAATACAAATCTAGCTCAGTTTTTCATGAAACTTCACAAGCTAACTGTAAAATTTACATAGGTAACAAAAAAGTTCTAAAGAAAAAAAATCAAATCAGGTGAGCACTATACACTACCAGGTATCAAAATAGATTATGATTGCATATATTATATATGTATATAACTATATATACAAGATATCATGAAACAATGCAGCAATAGTCAAATTAGTACAACAGACAAATCCAGAACTAAAGCAAAAGTGAGAGCCTTCTAACAGATCCATGCTTATACAGAATTCTGATATATGAAAGAGAAGACATTGCAGATCACTAGGGAGAAAAATAAACCTTTAAATGGATGGTTTGGGAGCAATTAGTTTTCATAAATAAAAACCAAACGGAAATGAAACTCTACCTCACAACATAAACAAAATCAA